CAGGAGTTGCAATTCTCATCTCTGATAAAATAGACTTTAAAGAAACTAAGATCAAAAGAGACAAAGAAGGACATTAAATAATGGTAAAAGGACCAATGAAACAAGAAGAACTAACGATCCTAAATATATATGCACCCAATACAGGAGCACCCAGATTCATAAGGCAAGTTCTTAATGACTTACAAAGAGACTGAGACTCCCACACAATAATAGTGGGAGACTTTAACACCGCTTGTCAATATTAGACAGATCAACAAGACAGAAAATTAACAAGGATATCCAGGACTTGAACTCAGACCTAGGTGACGGGGGATGGAGGCAGTAAGCCACATTGCCATGTATGTACCTATGCAACAATCCTGCATGTTCTGCAAATGTACCCCAGAACCTAAAGTACAATAAAATAAATAATAATAAAAAGGATTAGTTCATGTGTCCTTTCCAGGGACATGGATAAAGCTGGAAACCATCATTGTCAGCAAACTGACACAAGAGCAGAAAACCAAACACCACATGTTCTCACTCATAAGTGGGTGTTTAACAATGAGAACATATGGACATGGGGGCGGGGGAACATCACACACTGGGGCCTGTCAGGGGTTGGGGGTCTAGAAAGGGATAACTGGGGGTGGGGGGCTAGGGGAGGGATAGCATGAGGAGAAATACCTAATGTAAATGATGGGGTGATGGATGGCAAGTAAATACCTATGGCAAGTATATACCTATGTAATAAATCTGCATGTTCTGCCCATGTACCCCAGAACTTAAAGTATAATTAAAAAAAAGAAAAAGCAATTTGTTTTTACATTTAAATGTGCTAACAAAATAGTAACAAATAAATGTTTAACACTAATGCCAAAGAAACCTAAGTATGGCATCTAAGACATGCAAATGCTTTCTCACAGCTGGGCAGTGGCAGTCTTCTGCTGCCCCTATTTCAAAGGTGATTTAGTAAAAGATGCTTCTGTGCATTACTTTCCAACTGTCACTGGAAGTGACTCTCTAATGGCCTAAATCTTTGAGATTTTCATAGAATGGTCCTTGAAATAGAGGCTTTAGATGCAGGGCATGAAAGTGTGTGAATGTAGGTGCGTGTGATCTGAACTCTCTACTTTTCATTTTAGGGCGAAAAAGGAGCTATGGGAGAACCTGGACCGAGAGGGCCCTATGGGTTGCCTGTGAGTTCCCAGTCACATGCACATCCCCACCTTCTGCATGCATAGCTGACCAGTCACTGACATGGTTAACCCTTCCCTTGTGGGGCAGACTAATGTTAGACAAGAAAACAACAGTCCGCTAATGATCTATGATGCCAGTAATTCCATGTCCTTCACAAATAGGTCATATTCAGTCTCTTGCCTACTCATCATGTACAGACCCATATCCAGTCACTTCATGAGATTGAGAGGATCAGAGACTGTCTCTAGAATAAACTATTAAGCCAAGAACAGGATTCTGACTGTCAGAAGATGCCCTCCCTACGTCATCTTACTGGACACTCATAACTAGCACTTCCTTGGAAGGTCACTGGATCAAAAAATGGCTGTGAAAGCTTCATTGAAAACAGCCTTCTTCAGACTTTATCTGTTCCTATAGGCTATTTACTAAAACGACTCTTGCTATTAAAAATTATTCCCCAAATTAAATTGATATTTATGATGATGTTTCTTTTTCCAAATAATTGTGATGACAAATGATGTTCAGAACATAGAACATTGATAGTGTTCCCTCTTCTGAAAATTCTTTTTATTATTATTATTATTTTTTTTTTAAATGGAGTCTCACTCTTTTGCCCAGGCTGGTGTGCAGTGGCACAATCTTGGCTCACTGCAACTTCCACCTCCTGGGTTCAAGCATTTCTCCTGCTTCAGCCTCCCAAGTAGCTGGGACTATAGGCATGTGCCACCATGCTGGCTAATTTTTGTGTGTTTAGTAGAGACAGGGGTTTCACTATGTTGGCCAGGCTGATCTTGAACTCCTAGCCTCAAGTGATTCACCCACTTCGGCCTCCTAAAGTGCTAGGATTACAGGTGTGAGCCACTGCATCCAGCCTGAAAATTCTTAATTACACAGAATTGAAATTAAGACCTCTGGTTTGCTTTTAAAATATTATCTTGGGAAGAATTATAATTGATTCGTTAAGATAGGTGATAGGTAGGACTACAGTAGAGTATGTTGCATTAAGAAATTTTAACCTTACGGCCGGGCGTGGTGGCTCACGCCTGTAATCCCAGCACTTTGGGAGGCCGAGGCAGGTGGATCACCAAGTCAAGAGATCGAGACCATCCTGGTCAATATGGTGAAACCCCGTCTCTACTAAAAATACAAAAAATTAGCTGGGCATGGTGGCGTGTGCCTGTAATCCCAGCTACTCAGGAGGCTGAGGCAGGAAAAGTGCCTGAACTCAGGAGGCGGAAGTTGCGGTGAGTGAGCCATTGCACTCCAGCCTGGGTAACAAGAGCGAAACTCCAACTCAAAAAAAAAAAAAAAAAAGAATTTTAACCTTTATCTCCTGTATGCTTTTTAGGAATTGAAATAATAAACCTAAACCATGATTACCTCAGTGCTAAAGAAAAAAAAAGATGCTGATTTTGAAATAGGTTTCAAAATCTAATTGACGGAATCAAACTAGCCTCTTGTGAACTTTGGATGGATCCATAGTATGACACAATAGGGTCATCACCATGATCATCTGCACGCACTATGGGAGTGAATTTATCATTCTTGCCTAACAGTCTTACGGCTTTAAAAAAAATGTATTTGATTATTCATTTACGAAGCTTACTTAAAAGCAGCTTTTAGGTTGCAACCTTCAAACCCTTCATACACAGTGTGCACATCTAGCCAAATTAAAACTGTATTTAACAGGAAACAGTTTTTATATTCTTTTTATTATTGTAGCATTGATTCACATCCCCTATTAGTGCTGGTGTGTTTTTAAATCAACTAAACAGTATTTTTGCTTTTAACTTAACTCCTGGACTAATAACTTAGTTACCAACCCTTAAACATCAGCAAAATATTAGACTATTTAACCCAATATATAAAATTCTCATGACCCTTAGTTGCAACACTAACAGTCACTAATCCATAGAGAATCTTTCTCACATTTCTGAAGTAGTCATTCTAGTACTAGTGTTGCATGTTCAGACAGCCTTAAATCAAGCAATAACCTATTCATAAAACTTAGCAACGCTAATGTAGCTACTATGGTTCTTTGGCAGGGGAAAGATGGAGAGCCTGGTCTTGATGTAAGTAATAAGTACAATAAAAATCATCCTATTATAATAGATGTTGGTGGTCTCCATCATCAATAACAGAAAGAATACTTATTTTTTCTGTGCATATAGGTATGCATAGAACATATATTGCCGTGCATGTAAACAGCAATATAAAATACACTAGTGTTTACGTGAGATAAACAGAAAAGCAAAAAACCACAATTATCTTGTATAAAATTAGTAACTGGTAGTAGATAGTGGCAGTTCAAAATACTTTCCCAAATTGAGGGTACTCTTAACATCAGCATGACCTATGTATGAAAAATATGCATCAACTCAATATCCCCCTCATATGCTATCCTTAGGGAATGGTGTATGTTTTTTTCTCAAAGCAGTTATGCAATGTTTTTTCCTTTTAGCATTTAGTCTCTATATATCTTATGCTAACATGATCCCGTGAAAATAGAGAATGTCAAAAGTAAATGCCTCTAGAAACAATCACTGCTCATCCTGTATTACATAAATAATGAGAATACCAAAAGTAATACTAGTTACCATTTATGAGCACCTGTTATGGGCAGGCATCATTCTGGTACTTTGTAGTATATCATCACATTTCACATTCACAACAGCTGCCTAGTAATTATCATTAACCTCATTTTACAGTCAAGGGAGTCAAGTGCAGAGTGGTAAGTGATTTGCCCAAATCCGCACAAATCAGTGACCTTGCCAGAATTCAAAAGAATATCCTGGTATTCTTTCCTCTCTGTATTTCTTAAAAGAAAAGCAAGAAACCTGTTGTGTCTAGATAATGGAGACATTAGAAAACTTCTTAGCACCACCTTATTATCTAAATCTTATGACTGGCGTGCCCTTTTGTGTTATATTTAAGTTCAGAAATGTAAAATCCTAAAATATTTGTTTCTATATGATTTTTCCACCATTACACCAATAGATCTTTTTGGTTTGCTTTTTATCTTACAGGGCTTCCCTGGTCCACGGGGTGAGAAGGGTGACCTAGGAGAAAAGGGAGAAAAGGTGACCTCTCCATTCCAGCATGTGCCTTGTTTGATTCTTCTCCTGCTGTCTGCTTTGCTGTTCAGCTTGTGTGATTCCATTTGACACTTAATCTTTCTCCATCCTGTGCTCCAAAAACATGCTGATGTCTGATTTAAGGAATCAGGTCTTCAGAGACGAATGAAGAAGGCTGTACTGCCAGATAAAAGGGCACTGCCTGGCATAGAAGAAAAAATATTGTCCCCATATATTCAAGCTACAGGTTTTCAACCATCAGACACTAATTGAAAAATAAAGGATTTTTGAAAAAAAATTCTTTTAAAAAGTAAAATTAAATGGTACAAATCTGCAATGGTATTTGGCAGAGCTCACTGAAGCCTGCAGAGTCAGCATCTCACTTATCTTCACTACTTCCTGGTAGAGAAATGGAGATATGCTTTGTACCTTGATATTTTTTATTTGAAAATGGAGAAGCACTGTGACTGATAAACTACAGTAAATTCATCACACAGGACTAGAACTTGCCACTTTAGATTCAGAGCAACAGGGATTTTTTAAATGGAGGTATTAGTGTATTTTATGAGGTTGATGTTGAAGTCCTATCTCAGAACCGTCAGCTCCATGGTCTTTAGGAGCCAGTATCAAGCAATATGGTTTTGTGATTTGAAAGAGAAGTTTGGATTATGGATTTTAAAAGTCATTCATTCCTTTCTTCTCCTTTGTTCTTCTCTCCTCCCTTCCCTCCTTTCCTCTCCCTTCCTCCCTCCCTTTCTTCCTCCCTCTCTCTCTCTCCCCTCCTCCCTCCCTCCCCCCGCACTCCTTTCGCAGTATTTTGCTTGCATCTTTTACTTGGTAGCAGATCTAAGGAGAATTTTTTACACTGGACACAGCAAAAGAAGCCATCAAAAACTCAATCCCTCAATAGAATAGTGAAAATCTTAAAGTGACTGAAACTGTGTTTCACAGTACAAATATAAACCTGTTCTATTTCTCAGGTTAATTTATGTCCCTGCTCTAACAGTTTTTAAAACTTTATAAGGTTTCTTGAACAGTGACATTCATAACTGTTGACAAGCAAGGCTAAATGAGAGTTGTCAAAGATTATTAAGCTTGCGGTATAAGTTTTAGGCCTTTAAGCATTGCTTAGACCCTCCCCAACCCATTGGTAAGAGAGCCCATGTAAGTGGTTATCTGAAAGCCCCATCATCATCACCAGGATCATCACATTTACTGTTCATATGTGCTTTCCCAGGAGCTTTACATATGATAAGTCTTTTAATCCTCATTAAAAGGATTAAAATTAATGGCTGGCTTCAACAGTTTTAGTACCTGAAGTTGGCATTATTTTCCCCATTTCACAAATAAGGAAACCGAGGTATAAAAAGTTCTTTTATTCTGAATTATAAATTCTGACTATCAATTATGTTTTGAGATAAATTGTGCATATAAGTTTTCAGCCCAAGATGAGTGTATTTTAAAGATGATATGTGGCTGGGTGCAGTGGCTCATGCCTGTAATCCCAGGGCTTTGAGAGTCCAGGGTGGGAGGAATGCTTAAGGCCCAGAGTTCAACACCAGCCTGGGCAACATAGCAAGACCCCCATCTCTACTAAAAAATGAAAAAATCGATGGGGCATGATGGTGTGTACCTATAGTCCCAGCTACTCTAGAGGCTGAGGTGAGATGATCACTTGAACACAGGAGTTTGAGGCTGCAGTGAGCTATGCACACACCACTGTACTCCAGTCTGGGTGACAGAACAAGACTCTGTCTCTGAAAAAACTTAAAAACATTATACACGCACACACACACGTATGTATATATGTGTATATATACATTTAGACTCATACAACCCATTAGGTAAATATAAAATGTGTACACACACACACACACACACATATGTATATACGTATATATATACATTTAGACTCATACAACCCATTAGGTAAATATAAAATGTGTGTGTGTGTGTGTGTGTGTGTGTGTGTGTGTGTGTATGTACGTATATATATACACACACACACACACATTTTATATTTACCTAATGGGTTGTATGAGCCTAAAATCTTAATCACTCAAAAACATATTACCACTGGGCATGATGGCTTATACCTGTAATCCCAGCACTTTGGGAGGCTGAGGCAGGTGGATCACCTGAGTTCAAGAGTTTGAGACCAACCTGGCCAACATGGAAAACCCTATCTCTACTAAAAATACAAAAATTAGCCGGGCGTGGTGGCAGGCACCTGTTATCCCTGCTACTTGGGAGGCTGAGGCAGGAGAATCGCTTGAACTCAGGAGATGGAGGTTGCAATGAGCCGAGATTGCACACCATTGCACTCCAGCCTGGGCAACAAGAGTGAGACTCCATCTCAAAAATAAATAAATTATATTATATATATATATATATGTTAGGAGGATACTCATGTTTATGAGAAAGAAATTACCAACATTACAGCATATGAAAGCATAAAAGCTAGAAACTTGATCCTCAGAATAATGTTAATCACCCATACAAAAGTATTTCCATGTTCAGCTTCCATGATTACAAGTTTTAAATTTACAAAAATTAGATTCTAAATGAGAATAATTCATGTGTATAAGTCTTTGACATGGCAAATAAAAGTTATCAAAAGTTCTCATGTACTCATACCCACAATGACAGATGGTTTTGTATTGCATGGGGAATCAGTGCATATGCCACAACAATGCTGATTAATAATCAGATTGGCACGTTATTCTTCATACTGTAGTGTTTCTTTTCCATAAAGCTTGAGACTCACTAAAATATTACTGAAAAATGATTCCTATAGCCTGGCACAGTAATATTCATAAGACATTTTTCTGTTGAGTGGTTAATCTGAGTTGATTTACCAAATAATGAATTGAATTCCAAAGTAATAATACCCAACACAGCTGGTCTCAAACATACCTATGTGAAGAAGATCCACTGCTTTCTGGGAAGGAAGAGCTCACCCACACGAGTTTACATCAGTTTTATGTCATGGTACTGAAGTGATTTATTAAGGAAGGATGTTATCCATCTTGTGTGAGTGAGCAACTTACTCCTGAATGCTCCTCCCATCTTACTTCCTATCACAACTGCTCTTATTTCATCCTGGCATCTGGGGTCATCATTGTCTTTTATCATGATCAACTAAGCCACACAGAATGTCTCTTTGCCCCTTATTCAAGAAATTCAAGTGTTTTTGATTCTGAGTCTTCTGATGCAATCTTTTTGGCACACAGGAGATAAATGAGGAGCTTTTGCTCATGCTGTCGGAATGAATGTATTAATTTGAATGTATATCTTGTATATTTCTGTTATGTATATATCTTTTCACCTTTCAATATTCATGTTGCTTTGCTTCAGAGATTCAGTTTTATTGTAACTCACATCCTGATTGCAGAATGAATACATTTATTTAAGTGTGTATTGTACAGGATTTCAAATTCTGCACGGCACCAACTCCCTGTCTATAAATATGCAGAGATACTGATGTTAATATAAAACAGCTGAGGTGCATTCCTTCCTTCTCCTCCTTTTGCCTCCTTTCCTTAATTCCTCTGGTCCTATGATCCATGTAGATTTCCCACAACCTTTACCTTGATTCCTAAATACTAATTTCCATGGCTACATTCCCACTATGTAATTATCCTGCCTACCTCATTTTTATTGAGTCCAAGCTGCTTTTCCTCTCCTGAATAGATTTTTTTTTTTTGCATTTGTTACATTGTGAGTAAGCTGGAAACTCATTTACCATTGTAAATACATGGCATGAGATCAGTAAGAGAGTGACTTAAAGTGACTTAAAGAAGATCCCTAGGTTTATAAGTAAGTCTGTTTCTCCAGTTGTCATTGCTACAAAGTATCAGCACTTTAACATTTGTTTACCTGATTTAATAAGAAAAGTATTTGCTTTTAGTTTCTTTTGAAAAAATGTTTTACTGTAACAAAAGGATGTAAAAAATGTTAAAAGAAATAGAAGCGTATTTTAAGACATTGAATATTTTGAATGAGAGTTATAGAATTAATATCAATCATAAAGTTGGATACATTTCAAAGAAATAAACACTGTTAATATTCTTTCCTTTTCCTCTGATTCAATGCAGCTTTCATCTGTTACAGGATTAGGAAAAAAGCAATTGGTATTGAAAATGAGTGAAGTATCCATTATTTCCCTGAACTTCATCTGACACTGGCTGACTTCAATACTTTTTGTACCTGTCATCCTCATAAGATCTGTGACCACCTAATTCATGACTGTGACATTGTGGTCTAAGTTAGCACTTCTGATATATCAGCTTTTAAGTCTCCTTCTTCTGTCTTGTTATCTTAAATAAAATCCCACATACCGCTGCCCAGAATCCACTGTCACTCTGAAAGTGTAAGTTAGCTTGTATAATATCATGCCTTACCTAAATCAGAAAACAATGGTAAATGCCCTTCCAGAATTTTCTTACCTAAATCATCTTTTGAATTACCATTATTTCCCCCCCCCCCCAAATAAAATGTGTCTTTTATTTAAACCCTTGTATCCACAGGGGGAAAAGGGAAAGAAAGGCAAAAAGGGGCCTAAAGGGGAGAAAGGAGAACAGGGTGCTCCTGGATTAGATGCACCCTGCCCATTGGTATGTCTGACCTGTGGAACTGTCTCCAGATGTTTGTGTGAGGGGATCAGATGGGAGAAGAGCAAGCTGGAGGCATCTGTAACAGGAGGGTTTCTGATTGGGGTCCTTTAAGACGGACTTCAAGACACCCAGAAACATTTATCACAGTTATCCTGATATGTTCCACATCTCATCTCTGGCCACTAGCTCTGCCTGGTTTCTTAACCCCCAAATATCATGGTGCAACTGGAACCTGAATGTAAGATCCGAAAGGAGCTGGCACTATTCCACACGCCTCAAAAACACTGTTTTCCAACAAGGCCCTGTTGTAGGAATATGTGTTCCTCCGTTTTACTTTGTCCATCTTTCCTGGATGTTACTTTTACCTTCAGAGTTGCTCCTCTCCCAGCCTTTTGTTGTCATAGTTACTTCTTTCACAGAATTTGTGCTTAAGTGATTTCTTGTGTTAGTAACATTATGAGTTAATCTTTACAAACAGGGATTCCGTGGCGTTAAGGGGGAAAAAGGGGAGCCAGGCCAGCCTGGCCTGGATGGGCTGGATGCCCCTTGCCAATTGGTACAGTATTTCTCTTTCCTACCACCCTGCATGCAGTTCCTTTGTTTATTACATGTTCATCTCTATCAGTGTAAAGTGGTGCTGTCTGGGCAAGCTTTACATGACACACACACTACATGCATGTGCATGAACAGGCTCCTTCTGCTACTCTGCAGAGGAAGAGAGCAAGCACGAGTTTCTATCAATGAATGCAAATTAATCTCCTGATGTTGTTCTCACAACTGACATGACCACCTTTTCTGTGTTCTTTGGAATGTTAGTTTTTTCAATAAATATTAAAAGATTGCATTTACAATTACATGAAAATATTTGATGCAAAGGCACTGCTAGGCCATCTTTGGTTTTCCACCTAAGTTTGACTTTTTTTCTTTTTCTCTAAAAGAAATAAAGGTATCAGTAAATTTCTATCAGACTGTAAATAAGGCCCAACCTATGGGAATTCAGCTTCTCTGGTCAAGCGTTAACCAATTCAAGAGAGTGCTTTAAGAGACCATAGAGAAGAAGACCAAACTTCTCTGAGCTTCTAAAGATAATAGTCTGCAGCCCAAACCCTCTGCTTTGTCACGTAACCTTTTCAATTTAATGGTCTCTCCTTTTGAAACTCACTTTCCTAAAGTAGACCAAACTCCCTTATCTCCATTGGCATGAACTCAAAATCCTCTTGATACTAAAATCTAAAATTCTGCTGGTTGAACCCTTTCCTTGTACCAATCTGGCATTACCAGTTTTTCCCAAATATTTTATGAAGCTTTTTTTAAAGTGTTTTTTTTTTTACATTTAAAATGAAAGTATAGTCATATTTTCTGAGGTATAAATAAAAAGTTTGATGTTTGCATTGATGGTTATACTGGTCTGCATGTTCTTATATTATTCTTCAGTTATAAGCATGATTCTTTAAAGATAAATTTATATTTCTCTTTTAAGAGATATTTATATTTAAAAAAATTAAGCAGTCAATAATTATAGTTAGAAAATCTCAATACAAAGTTCCCAGTTCTTTATTTTATTTGCTTGGTATTGATGATAAATCATATTTTATGATCATTTTGTTGGGGGAAAAAGTAGAAGCATGCCTTCTTGATACCCCAGCTCTTCCTGCCTTACTTGTATCATTTGTATCTGAAGAATGCATACACTTTAAAATAAATTTTGCAACACTTAGGAACCTCTTATTCAGAATTTGTTAACTGACTTCTGAAGCATTTAAATAGAGAAATTGATGAATGCTATAGATAACATTTTATCATAAGTCTACAGATAGGCTGCCTGTCTTTTAACTCAATTGAGTATGTTTATTATATTTAATGTGAAGAGCTATACACTTCAGATAGAAATGGTTTGTCATTGATTATTCATCATTATCATGAATTCAGCCATAGTCTAATAGTGACCAGGAAGAGAAGTTATTTTGGTTTACTTAATAGAGGTAACAGTGAGATGTGCTTTAATGAAATTAAGAGTATAGAAATTAAGAGTATAGATTATCTAAAAATATAGATATACTTTGTAAATTGCTTTTTCAAAATTAGGCATAACATTTTCTATGCTTCATATGTTTTCAAAATGTGTGCTCACTCTGAAAAACATTTGAATTTTCTTTATTTTTACCTAACAATGGAATAATGTATTGGGAGTTGCTAATTAGTAAAAGATGCCCATGATAGAAGCCACTAATGGGTAGAAATTTATGTTTAAGCCTCTAAGCATGTGAAAAATGGAGTTTAATCACTCTTGTGGAACCTGAGGAATTCTCTTTTTTCTCTTTAAAACAGGGGCCAGATGGCTTACCCATGCCTGGCTGTTGGCAAAAGGTAGGCTTTACAGAATAATTTCTCAAAAGAAGCCCTCTCCCTATCTCTTAACCTGGACTGGCCTTTTCCATTCAGAACAGACCTTTAGAGGTGACATTCCCGAAAGTTGTCTGGATATTAAAAAGCAAAAGATTTCATCTCCAGAATACTTTTTGATTGGTGTATTTACTGGTGATTTCTTCCAAAACTGATCGGCTAATGCAATTCTTAGCAAACATTGCAATTTGGAACCTTTTCTATCTAATCCTTTCTTTGGAATGGAAAGGGCCAGTGCACCTTGATAATGTTTTGCTTGTCGCTCAATAAAATCTTTGTCTTCCTACTGTTTGAAGCTATTCTTATGATTATTTTTCTATTTATACTTACTTACATAGACAAACGCTAATACATGGTAGAACCTTGTCAATATTAGTCACAGAGCTGAGAAAGCAGAAAAATATAAACATCATTTGTTTAATGATGTCTTGAGTTATGTAGGAAAAACTGAATTAAATTTAAATAGTGTCCTTTATGACATCGGTTTATTCTAGCCTCTTCATATGGCCTCCCATAGTCACTGTGAGAGTATATTCTTTATAGAGAATCTTCTATGTGCAAAGGCCGTATCATAAGCCTTTCCATATAGAGAATATCATTTTATTTGACCCACACAATGACCCCATAAAGTCTTATTACCCTCAGTGATGCAGATGAGGAAACAAATTCAGATAGGTCAAGGACCTTCCAAGAGCCCAGAACTAGTATGTAACAGAACTAGGAGAGAGAGAGAGAGAGAGAGAGAGACAATGGAAGGCAACAGTAGAACTGTAAGCAGGAAAGAGCTCATCCGTATGAGCTGTGCTATTCAGAGAATACCAAACCTTTATGCAACAGTGGCGAGGATCAAATTATAAAAGCCATGCACATGCTACTGAAGGATAAAGGCATTCCAAGGATATAGGATAAAAATGAGCTGAGGAAATGCACAAGATGCTTCAATCATTTTGAAATTTTTTCTCCAGCACCTTGGGGCTTCTTCAGTAATTTTGGACAGGAATGCTTCATTAGCAAAATTATAGCAAAACTATGTAGCAATGCAGAAAGATGCGAAACCTGACTCTTAGTTGCCTCATACCTTAGCATCTCCATTGGTGAGAAAACCCTCACTCTCTTTCTTAATCAGTTTCACCTACTTGACCAAGGAAAGAAAAACCTCTCTCAGTAGCGTCATTTATTTAGTAGCTTCCCATACTCCACTTTCAGCCTGTCAGATAATTAGCTTGATCACACAGGGGGTCAAGTGGGTCTCATGAAAATGGATCTATCATCATATTCTTCTTCACCTGAGAAAACTATCCCTTCACCATCATAACCCCCGTTCACAGAATTTTTAATACCATCTTGAGCTGGAATTACCACTTACTCTCTAACCTTTACCCTGTAATCTAATAGTATAATGATTTTTTAATCCAGCCATTAGCAGACTTTACATAGAGGAGATTCAATAGGCTTGCTTTATCTAGCCTTCTGACACCACTCAGAACTTGGGTTTACAATTGTTCTTAGCCACGTCTGAATCACTGCCTTTTTTTAAAAAAAGGGGTTTATACCCTTAAATGGCAACAATCAAAGGACTCATCATCTTTTTGGTTCATGAAATGGCCAAACCTGGTAGTAATATGAATACTATTATAAAATCAGAAATTCAGAAATTTCCCTTTTAAATACTTTTTCCACAGAATAGACACTGTATGCTACATAAAAGATCTTGTGAATCTAGCATCTTCTTATATAAAGAATAAGAATGATTAAACTTTAGTACAGTTTACCACACCCACCCAACACATACAAATGCAAATCTTTCTGATCAACCTCTCCCACCCATCCCCAGAAAGGGAAAAAAGCAATTAGAAAATGAAATTTTCTCAAATTTCTTACATGGTCAACTTAGCTGTTGTATCAAATAATCAAATAAAATTGTTCATATTTTTAAAATGAGGTCAGGAGATTGCTTTTAGTGAGTCTTACTTTGGTTGTATCACCCTTTTGAACACTGCTGTGCTTATTAGGCTGTAAGGCACAGTGGCAATATTTGACTTAAAATTCAAATTGTGGCAGTCGTGTAAATCACTGTGATTAATTACCAAGTCTTCTTGGTCATGCTCCTCTCAATAATTTATATATTAAAACTATTTGATCTTTGTTTAAATTAGTTTTCTTTCTAGATATAGTTGAGTTTTCTAAATTTACTGACACAGGAAGAGTTGAGAGGTTAAGTGAGGGTTTGGAGAAAGGAATGCTTCCTATAGACACATTTTTTTTGGCATTGGCATGACATGCAAGAATACTGAGTGAACTCCCCCTCTGAGACCAGAAAGCAGCCTCCAAATCACACCTAGTAGAGCATCTATTTTCCTTGAATAGAGAAAAATAAATGGTAATAAATAAATTTAAAGATGACTCTATTCATTATGGAGGGTGAATGAAGAGACCTCTGTTATTCTCCTTCTCTGTACATTTTACTTTTCTTGATTTTTGTTTGAGCAAATGTCAAGGAAGTCTCTAAGATCTGCTTTGTAAACATATACCTCAAAGACCTCTGTTCCTCAGACCTCTGACTTAACTGCAGTTCTAGGAAAACCTTAGTAATTATGACTGCTCAAAATGAGAAACCAGAGACCTGTGGTGCCTTAGGTCACAATGGAACCTGTAATAGATTGAAGGCCTGACAGGAGGCAGGTGACAATAGTCACAGCAGAGTAAGGTTAGCAAAGAGGAGGAGGAACCAAGAACTGAAGAACAGGGGATTACGGTCAGGTGTTTAAGTAAACAGCATTATCAAGGTCAATCCTCATCCCTTTCCGCAGTTGTATTGTAATGCTTGCAGAAGATTATGTAAGTAACAAATACAGAATTAAGTTTAATTATGGCACATATGTGATAATCCTAATTTTCTGCTTTCTCAGAACAGTTACTGAGCAAAACATTTACCCCAAAATTCTCAGTGGCAAAAGAAAAATGTGAAATGAACCTCATGGAAATTGCCATGATACTCGAGTTTAGGAAGTAATATATAGCACACATATAATCAATTGGTTCACTGAAAGCCAATCAGTTGGCTCATAGACTATTCAAGGTTCTACCAGTTTTCTTGATTTAAAATTTTAATTCAAGACTACTAATTCCATGTATTTTTTTGTTGTCTGTTTTTCTGCAGTGATGAATCTAACCTTCCAAGCATGAAGTTGTGTATATAATGGTCCACTTTTAATATTTATAGTTGAAAACTGAATTGCAGATTTTACGAGTCTGATACATGTTTACATAGGGCTGCTTCTTCCTGTTGGCAGTGGTGTACATGTCCATTTTCACTCCACTTACATCTGAAATTGGGCAATTTGTGAAACCAGTGAAAAGCCTGCAAAAAAATATAGATCAATATCTCGTTATCTCATGTGAAGATATGTATTTATATGGACAAATCAGTGGTAGAGAATGATTGTACTAGCTATTTTCCTTCTTTGGGCTTGCTAATTGCATGGACAAAAAGTGCCATGAAATAGTTTACATGAAATGGTGACCAAATATGGACTCAAAGCTATGAAAATGTACTATACTGACTGACTTTAGAGTTGATCGTCACATTCCCATTCACCATTCATGTTGGCGTGGACTCCTACCTACACCACCTATTGAAACTGACTAAAACAGCATGACTGTGTGCCAAGCCTGCTTGCTGTGCAACCTCAGATGCTAGCATGCTAATCACAAGTCCTTCAATCACGTCTGAGCTTTTATTCCTTTTGTCATCTCAAGGGGGTTACACCGTGGCTTATTGCCAAAAAGAGATGAGGTGGTGGAGAGCACACACACACAATTTGTCTTGTATTTTGAGGGAGTTGCAGTCCTGACTGCAGATCCACAGCTTCCAGTATTGTGGGCTCACGTGGCCACTTTGGCTGAAAATACGAAGGGGTTGAGCCTGTTGCTGCTGCCAGTTTTTCTTGGGCTGCCCTTGGCAGTGAAGACACGGGAAGAGGACCGATTCAGCCTCCAGCACTGTCTCTCGTGTGACCAAGTAGGAAAGAGGTTTACAAACGCAAATGTGCAGAATCTCAGACTTTAAAAATATAAAAATAACTCAATTTCAGCAAGTGTTAATATGGGTGCTTTTGAAAAATGACAGAGGCACAGCACTTCTTTTGGAATAGGAGATTCTTGGAATGGCAGCCCCTATCCCTTAGGAAAAGGGGATGTGCATCCCACCCAAACTTGGGTTGCTGAAGAAATAACATGTTCTGAGAAGGGATCAACCAAAATCGCCTCTCCTGAAGATGTAGGAGAGCTTACTGGGACAATCTGTGCCGAAGTTGTGAGAGCTTTCCTTCCTCCTAAGATCCAACCCATATCAAACATTTCCTGCAGAGTTCTACAAACAGAAAGGTATTTTTCATTCTTTTTAATGCTTTTTCCTTTTTCTTTTAGTCCCATGAATATTGAGAAAATATTCATTTCTCAATATTTCTCAATATGTGACTCAGTTTTCGTCACATCTGTTTTGAACAATTTTTTTTAAAGAAGTCTTCAAATCGTAAAAATTTGGCTCCAATAGTCAAAATGATCTTTTACTGACTTCTCTCTTATTTTGGATAATTGGATATAAAAGAAGCTCCGCTTTCAGGTTAATCATTGTAAAGCATGAAGGCTAAGCATTTTTTTAGTATGTTTTGACTTTTTTTACCTGATGAATGTAATGTACGTGAAGATTATCAGTTAATATAAAGCCAAGATTTTGTCACATTTGATAATTTCTATTTTTATGATTTTAAGTTTCGTCTATATTTAGCTTTCTCCTTTTAACATTTCTAAATGTTTGTCTTATCCTCATATCCACAGACCAAATCTGAGATCTCAGAAAGCTGTGAAATATAGTTGCCATAAAGAGTATTTTTCATCTACTTGCTCAAATGTTACCTAACCGTATTAGAGCATTTCTTTGCACAGTAAAGAGTTGGCAGCATGTTTCAAAATGGCTTATTCTAAGTGGAAGTGTTACATTAAAAGAAACATTATCAATGAGGAGCTAGGCACCCTTTCAGCCCGTTAGAAAATTTAATTTCTCTCCTGACTCGATGTCATCTTATGGAAAGATTTTCAGTTTCATACATAGGTTTCGCCACCAGAAGGGAAATTAACTCATCATTGGCTTATAGTTAAGATATAACCATAAGACAAGGAACCTAAAATCCTCGTGATCTCATGTATGCTATGTAACCAAATGACAATCATACAAAATGGCATCTTATTTTTCTATTAAATTTTTAAGGTTGAAAGATGTTTAAACTATTAGATCAGTCTAATTGGTAACATTTCTGGTAACATTCCACACCCCTAAGCCAGTTTAACATTTTGAAAATAATGGAGGGCATTTTCTAACAGTTTCTTGTATGGCACGGTGCTAGGATAAGGTATTTATTGCTCAGTGTCTGACACAATTTGTCTTAAATGGTTTGGAAAAATGAACTGAAGTGGGTAGAACTACATTTTCTTCAGGAAAACAAACTACAGTGTCCAGTGGCTATGTATTTTCTCTACTTTTTCTGCTCCTCTAGTAGAAAGAGGTATTGAGATGGATCACTATCTAAAACTTGCACAGCTGCAGGAGATGATACCTCAACATCAAAAGAAAAACACTTTATGTATAAAAAATTGTTTTGGAAATACAGGTCTTCAAAGAATACTTTTCTGTTATGTGTGTCTATTGAGTTTTTGTGCCATAACTGATTTGTCAACATGGACTTATTTCATGATTAGATGAGGTTATAAACTTCCATTACATTTATTTCCTTGGGAAAAACAGATGACAACACTCATCTTTGTTCAGTGGAATTGCTAGGTCTTAACCGCAGTGGATAATCTTAAATTTTTGGTTACTACAATGTTCTCAGTCATCCATTTTGTCATCAATATAGAGAATTCTTAATTTCTAAGTGAATGAAAGAATTGTTTGTTGATATTTGTCGGTAGGTAACATACTTTCCTTAAAGATTTCTTTCTTTTAATTTACATTATTGGATAGAGGGTTGAGAAAATATACATGAAAGACACATTGGAAGTAAGGCAAGATCAGTTTCTATTTCTGATAAAGGATAGCAAATTGATATGTGCTTTAGATTTAAAATTGTTTTTCATTTATGTTGGTTGGTGCTAATGTATTTCTTTTCCTTTTTCTCTATGGACAATGCAACTACTATGGATAATTTTATTTCCCTGTTGAATAGCATTCCTAAATCATTAGTGTGTGATTTTATTTTTAAAGTTCATGAATTTGCTATAATTATGGTCCAATGACCAGGTTTTCTTAATGTAAAACAAAACAGTACCTATAGATGATGTGTGTTTACTCGGATCATAGATCCTCGTATTTCATATTCATTTCATACATCAAATGCTTTATCTACTTTCATGTGTCTCATCTTTTGCATTCACTCATCTTTTGGCTGATATTTGATGAAACATGAGAAAACCAGCATTAGAAAAGTCTGCACACACACCACATAGAGTACCCAGTGCACAAATACACCTAATTTTTTAAATTTAAATTTCATTTTTCATTAACAAAAGCAGTCTTGGAGGATTTTCTCATGTGATTTTATAGAGAACATCTTTAATTCCTACCAGAAGAAGAGTCTTGTTTCTGAACAGTTTGTGCATATGATGTTCTGATGGAACAGCAAGAACTTACACATCAAGTAGTTTATACTACATGTCCCCTGTCTATATCTTTCTACCTACATTGATAGACATACATTTTATATATATATGCTAGTTTAGAGAATTGTCAAATCAGTATGTCAGCACCAATGGAAAAATTGTCTTGATATGTTATATTTTTATCACTTAGGAAATGCCCTTAATTTTCAAGGTTTCTTTTTCTAATGTTACTATTGAAGCATGAAAAGTTAACATCGTCTGTTATCCTTTCTTTCCCCACTATGTATTGTCTTACCCAGAATTGGGCTATACTTGTGTGGTGGTATTTTAACATCTTCTAGTAAGAGATCATGAGTAACATACAGATGCTGATATTTGAAATACTGTTTTTCCCTATTTCCTAATAATCAAATTATATTAATATTTCACACTACAAAAAAAATCAGATTTTCTAATTTGTAAAAACAAAGCTCCTGCTATCTCTTGGAAGTTAAGTTCATAGAAACACTGTCTTATCTTTCTAATAGTAAGAACAATCATACATGATTCCGGCTATAAAAAATCATATATCCCTAGTGGAATTAACAAGCCTGACCAATTATGATTATGCCAAGTTGTTTTAAACTAAAAGGACTGTCAGTTTGTATTTCTTCCCATTTTTCTTGGGATATCTTTATATTGGCAGGATATGTTGCCAAAATAAAATTGCCACAGCAAAGACACTCCTCTAACTTACATTTTTAGTGGAGTTTGGTTTTTGCTAACCCCATACTAATAAACATTTAAATATTTTGAAATGAAAAAGCCACTAAAGTGCATAAAATAGCCTTTGTTGCTTATTGACAGAACTGTCCTTTTGGGAATAAGACTTTTTCGACCTAAACTGTTACGCATGATTTATTCACAACTTAACAAAGAAAGTACTAACATTTCTGAAAATGTAGTTGATATTCTCACCTATCTCAGAAATATTAATGAATTGGATTCACAAAAGAATGTCTTACATATTGTTGACATTTATGTGAATATTCTTTATACTGTTGTAAATGTTTCATTCAACTTAATAACATTTTTAAAAGATGTATCTGATTTTTCTTTAGAAAAAATATTTTTATTTGTATTTTTTACATTTTAAAGTTCATCTCTGTGCAGCTATTTTTATATTGCCAAAAACTCACATAAATACAAATAAGTGGAATATGCAAAAAAATATTTTGGCAAGCATTACACTGCATATTTTTTTAAATGTTTGTGGGCCAGTCTTATGTAATTGATTATTCTAAGAATGTGTTGTGTCTTATCACTGTAAATATGGCACAAACCTGTTTATCTCAGTAGTGTAAATAATTGAATGAATTCTCCCTGTTCAATTTCTTATTTTAATTTCATTGTAATTTCTCCAGCTGACATTACTGAATCAAAAGACACAAAGTTTTTGATCTGTGATTTGGAGATAATTGCATTGTGTTCAGTTTCCAATTTGTTTTTATTTGCTTTTTAACTTGTTTTCAGGGTTCCTAGTTTGTGAGAAGTTGATCTTCAGAATTATTTTTACACTATTTATGACTTATTTTCATAATGTAAAAAGTGTGTAATTATTACAATATTAATCCAAATAATGATAATGAATTGTATTGTTATAAAGCTTTATTGATGCTCATGAAAACCTTGGCCTCTTTTATTTAAACACTATTCATAAAAAAAAAAAATAGAATGCATGCTCAGCTTAGGGAACTCTTTATGGCCTTCTATCCCAGTAGAAAGCACACACGAGTCTGGAAACCAGCAGGTAGAAATAGGTGTCGCCCCACTTAATATCACTCACTATGACTCATGGGAAATTTTGTGCAAAAAAAAAAAAAAGACACTATTCATAAAGAATTTTATTCTACTCTTCTACGATGTTGTAATCCCACCATTTATCCTGGTGCACACATCTAGCTGTAGGGATTTTCTAAAACTAGAGCTTTGTTTTTTAAGTAATAATGCATGCAAACCTATCTTCCCCTCCTAATTTTCTTCCACTATTTCCCATTTTGATGAATTGTTACCTTACATTTAGTTGCCTCTTACCATCCTCCCACCAAATTATTCATCAGTATATTATTAGAATGTAGCACATAATAATCACTCAGTATTTAATGGATGAATGACCAAATGCTTCCACAAAGATACCAATTATTTACAAGTCCCAAATAAAATATTTCTCACTGCTTACTTTTCTTATATTTATGCTTTTTATAATTGAAAGATAAAATTGTGTTTTATTGTCAAAACATGTTTTGAAGTATACACACACTGTGGAATGGCTAGTTCTAGCACTCATCTTTGTTGATCTTGCCAGCAGCATTAGATGCAGTTGACCACTGCCACCCTCTTCAACGCTCATTTTAGTTCTCAAGTCTTTATGTTCTTGTCATTTAACCCTACTTTTCTTTCTTCTTTTCCTCTGCCAGCTCTTCCTTCTCTACCTGATCATTAAATTCTCAGGGCTCTGAGTTTCATTCTCTCTTCTGCTTTTGCTCTTCTCACCTACACATTCCCTCTCTCCAAAAGAGCTCATTCACGCCCACAAAAACAACGTTCCTGTCTTGATCAGACTTCCTTCTGACTTTCAGACCAACTGACAAAGGCATGTTCACCTGGATGTCCCACAGGTGCTTAGCATCTTCTGCTTCACCCCTGGCTGTCTTCCAGACTTCCATATTATAATGAATGGTGCCACCTTCCCCACCTGCCACCCAGGCAGGCATTTAGACACTACCCACCTCCATCACCCACTCATCCCCTG